CCAAACGGAATCTCCGGCAGCACAGAAAGTCAGTGAAGAGCAGGAGCTTCACACCAAAAGCTGCCCATCTGGAAAGAGCCTCTTTACTTCCACATTTCCAATCAATTTTCTCGGCAATAAAATAAAATGTAAACAGATTTTTTTTAAATAAAAGTTTGTGTTTTGTTCCCATGAGATACCTGTGCAGCTATTCCACGTTTTTTCTCCTTTACTGATATACTGCAGAAAGAAAAAACAGCTGGAAGTAGCATAAAAACAAGCAGGTACCACAAGAGGATGATGTCCCTTGCTTGGACCCTATAAAATGTTATTTTATGTTTTATAAAAGTGTGTTCAGAAGCACCTAAATGCAGGAGGAGGATAAAAGGAGGTATAAAAACTCTAAGTGATTACGCCTGTGGTGTGCAAAATTTTCGATGCCCTTACGTAGATGTCTGTATTCCAGCGAGGTGTGGAGTTAGGTTTATACCTTGCACCTGTTTTTCTTTGGGGTTTATTGAGTAAGCCACAGCAGGCTGGGATCCCACATAACATCAAACCATAGATCACGGTTTACAAAGCACAGTGGGTTCTTAGAGTATGTTAAGCCCAAACAAAACAAGCCACATTATGATTTTGCGTGATCATGGGCATCTTGTTCCACTCCCATCCCACTGAAGTGGTCACTGCAAAGAGACCGCATTTCAGCAGTGAAACTCACTGTGACGAGGCGCCAGGCAGGATCCTTGGCCACCAAAAATCCGTGCACGCCTTCTGACTGCCAAAACTGTAGGGCTTCCTGCAGGATATGGCCAAAAGAGGGAACGGAGGCTTCTTTTGCAGCAGAGCCCTTCTAGGTTCCCTGCCTAGAAGTAACTGAATACAGCTGGACTTACTTCTGGGTAAGGCTTGTGTTCATCGGCAAAGAACAGGACGGGGAAATGGAAAAGAACCACCTTAAGGGTGGCAAAATGCAGAACTGAGCAAATCAACGTGATGGATCTGCCCATCTATTATCATAGTGTTGTGTGCTTTAGCAGGGCCCGATTCCAAGCCAGGGTTAATTGACATGGAGAATGAATGCCACCCCCAGCCCCTCTCTGAAACTGGGGGAACATTCAAAATCATAGGCTGCAAATGCCAATGATAATATACCTTGAGGTGCTGGACTGTTTGATTGCTCACAGCTGTTACACCCATCTCTTCTTCCCAAATTGGAAGTTCCAGCAGGATTCGGATTCCTGGATGGTCACGGAGGGAGGAATATGGGTGGCAAAACATGCAGCCGTTGGCTTAAGGTTAATTTCTGGAAGCCATTGCTGCTAAAAGTTGAGCTAACAGCTGTACCACTGATTGTGCACACGGATCATGCAAAGTAAAGGATAGGTTTATTCACGGCTATTAGCCAAAATCGGGGTGTCACTGTTTTGTTTTTAACTACTGTTCACTGCCCAGGGTCATGATGACGCTGAGATGGGCAGCCATATAAATAAATGGAAATAAATAGATATATAAAACAACTAAATGGAGCCTCTAAGGTCTACCTCAGAGTAAGAGATACGGAGGACACAAAAGTGGAAAGGACCTTTTCTTTGCATTGCGTGGGGGCTTCCTAAGGAACCTGGCTAGCCCTTTGGGGAAGCGGAGCAGTCAGTTAAATCCACTTTTTTCAACCTTGGCAACTTTAAGCTGTGTGGACTTCAACTCCCAGAGTTCCCCAGCCAGCATGAGTGGAATGGCCTTTGGCTTGACTTGGCTGCAGGATCTTCTGAGAAGAGAAGCCCCCGTGTTGGAGAGCAACAGACGAGGGGGTCTCGCGCTGCCCTGCCTCTTCTCCAGCCAGGCCCCACCTTTCCTCACCCCGGGCATCAATATCCTGTTTCCGTCTGCCGAGTCTGGCCTGGTGATGTTGCCTCTCCAGGACTGCCCACTTTTTACCGCCTAAGCAGGCCAGACCTGGCACGAAGCAGAGGCCACAACAGCCCTCTTCTGGCTATTGCCCAGCCCAGCCCCTTTTGGGGGATCAGCCCCCTCTAAGTGCCTTGGATCTGGGGTGACCGAAAGCAAAGCATGCGGTGTGTCTGGCCCCCACCCAAGCAGTTCTGCCCACCTGCCCCAGTACCTCTCTTGTGCCCGTCAATTGCCAGAGCTTGCAGCTGTGCCAGGGATCCGTGGGCAGGGACAATCTGGCTCAGGTTGGCCCCTCTGCCTGCAAGGATGGGGCCCAGCACCAAGGCCTGGATGGATAGGGCCACCAGCTGGTCCAGCTCCTGTCTCACACCTGTGTGGAGGGAGGGATGGATGGAAGGGGGCATTCACGGTAGAGGGGGCACCAGTGGTTTTGAGCAGAGTTACTCTAAAGCCATTCCTTTCCTTCCTTACCTGCCAGGTCTCCCCACCCATCACCGTTGGAGTCTGGGAACGAGGAGGGGGGCAGGTGATAGAAGGTCGCCTTTTGCCACCAGCCCAGGGGAGGGCGAGGCCAGGGCAGCGTGAGGAGCAGGACAACCGCCAGGGCGAGCATGCAGGCAAAAAGGCCTCCCCACAGGCCGATCAAGGCTTGGCGGAGTCCCGGCCAGGGAGCGGCACTGCCCTGCTCTGCCACTTCCTCCTGGCTCAGGTAAGTGGTGCTGAGGTCTGCTTTGCCCAGCAGGGGCCGGTGCTCGCTGGGCCCGAGGGTGGCGCTGTCTTCCGCTTTGCCCATCGTTCACTCCTTGGCGCGCGAAGCTGTCGAGTGCAGGGGAGAGTCGGAAGAACCGGAATGTTGCCTTCAAGGACGGAGAAGCTCAGAGACAACCGATGCAGACGCTGAAATGCATGAACTCTCTGAACCACTCTGGGCACGATCCAGTGGGACGTTCTGCACAAGCCCCATTAAAATGGGGGGGGGGAGCTGAGTTCAAACAAGCTAAATCATGGTTTGCTTAGGCATGGCGTGTTCAGAAGGCTGGATTCCCACTGCACTGCAGGTCCAGATGAAAAGGGCTACATTTTGGGTCATCGTAATGCGGAATCCCCGCCTCCAGCTACCCCCACCAAGAGTGCCTTATTGGTTCGCTAGCAGTGAAGTCCTTTTGGGGAGGGAGAATGGGACGGAATCGCCTCCTGTTCTTCAAGGGAAGCCAAAGATCCCAGGCCCTGTTTGTCTCCCTGCCCCTCAAGCCCCAGCCGGGAGAACTGAGCTGCTGGCCCCTCAGCCTTAGTGACGCCGGGCCCCCACGCATTACCAAAGCTTCAGCAGACACATCTGGCTCTGGGATGGGCTTCGAAGGAGGGACCGGGACAGGCAATAATTGTTTGTTGTTTGCTTGCGCAAGCAAGGAGTCAGCAGCCACCATTGGTTGCGCTGCTGTAGGGGGACACCCCCCTCCTTCAGCTCCCATGCCAGAGGATTGCCAGAAAGTGATACATTCCTCAGGTATTTGTGAAGTCTGGGCAGAGAGAGGCGTACGCTTGCACAAGGGTTGCAGCCTTAAGATAAGGAGGTTTCAGAGTTCATCCCTGCCGGATGCCCCACATTCTGGCACCGACTTGTTTGTTCGTGACTGTCACAGCAGGGGGTATTTTTACTAGTGGCTGTGCTAAGGGCAGTTTGCAAAGGCTGCATGGCGCCCACCTTCTATGGCCAGCGAAGGCTCGGCACGGATCTCTGTTCACTTCTCCATCCTCAAGGAAATTCACAAAGTGGCAGTGATGTGCACAAGGCAGATCAGCCTTGTGATTTTAAAACACACTTTTTAGAGAAGCACCTTCGCTCCTCCTCACTTGGAAGTTGCCTGCCGCTGAACCTGAGGGCGACTGAGCATAGCAAGCCTTCTGCCCCCCTGCTGGCAGAGACACCTTTGCCCACGCAACGGTCTTCTCCCACTTTGGGGCAAGGACATTCTATGCTGCACGGGCCAATTGGGGAGTAAAAATACTTGTGGGCTAGTCACGTCTGTTACCGAAGTCAACAGCTGAGAAGCTGGCTGGCTGTTCCCACATAAAGGAATAATTAATTGTAGAATATCTGAATTAGCCCCAATGGCTCTTCTGAATGGCGCATGCATTGGGAGTGTGGCAAAAATCACCGTGACAAAGCTTTGAGCACTGGGAAAACGTGATCGCCATCCCGCCAGAGAAGAACTGTCATGCCACTATGAGCAATGCAAGCTATAAGCAGCAACGGGGATTCTGGGAAAGGCCAGACCAGGAGCATTCACTGAAAGGTTTTCAGGACAATTTGCTGCCTCTCAATCTTCAGCCCCTTTTCCTTTCCAGTGCAGAAATAACACAAAACCAGACAGTCAGGATTTCTACTTGTCAGCCCTGCCTAAATTCTAAGCGTTGCTGTTGCACTGTTTTCCCCAACCGCGCCCCCCCCCTTACCTTGCCTTCTGCCTGGATCTCCACCTGCCAAGGTCTGAAAGGTGGTTGGAAGAGGTGCTGGCCTGGGTGCAAAGCAGGGGGTGTTCCTTATTTCTCCGCCCCCGTGGCCTGATAGGAAGGGGGCAGCTGAAGTCTCTTCCCACCCCAACCTTTCGCATTCCGTGAGGGGTGGGGGCAAGATCACCAGAACTTTATGAGCCATTAGCGGCCTTCTGACAATATTTGGCCAGCGAAGTAGCCGCAGACCCAGCATCTTTTTCCCACCTCGTGGCGTTTCTATCTCCAGGCTGAATCCAAAGTGCAGACTGAAACAGCCCAGCCAGCCAGCCTAGGTGAGGCACAAACCCAAGGTTTCTCAAGCTTGGCAACTTTAACACTTGTGGACTGCAACTCCCAGAATTCCCCAGCCAGCATATGTCCGAGAAACCCTGCACTAACCTCTGTAAACAGGCAGAGCAGCTCATCCCCAGAGCCATCGCTTGCTTCTTCCAATCCCTCCCTAATCCAACTCTCACTCTTGCATCTGTTGCAATTCAGCCTGTGACAGTTGCTGGCAGTGAAGCCAACACATTTTAGACTGGTAAGTTCCTCAGGGCAGGGACTTTCCTCTTCAAGGTCTCCAAAGCCCCATGTCTGGAAGTTCTACTTTGCAGCTCAGGCGAAGAAGAGCAGTGCGCACGTTGTGCCCTCAAGACCCTCCTCCGAAGGTTGTTGATTCTGGATCTGCTGAAGGTTTTCCATTTACTGTTATACCTCAACTGCATCTCCTTCAGTTTCCCTCTGGGTAAGAAATAAACTATGACTGGATGAATGTCTTGGTTGAACAATGGTTTAAGAGATAAAGAGATGGTTTTTTATTACTATTCTAGTTTTTCTTTTAGATTCTTCCTAGCACTAAAATAATGCCAGGAAAAGGACAGCCTGCTGCTTCTCAGACCCTGAATACTATAAATACTAAACCAGAATCAAACAAAGAGAAGTTGCAGTTAATCCAGGATGACTCTGCAAAAGTGACATCATTGCTTCTCCCTTCCACAAGCAGGACAGGAGTGGCAGGAAACACAAAACTCACGCTGGAAAGCAAACATGGTGTGGAGGGGATTCCCCCCCTTCTTAGGCAAAAAGCCGCAGCCATTCCAAGGGGGCTTGGTGCACCCCTCCCCCGTCTGCCGAGTGCTGCGGCCCAGAAACGCTTCCCAGGGTGAGGACCAGCCCCTTAAACAGCAGGACAGCATAGCTGTGCCACGTCCATCTGAAGGGTGCTTCCTCTGTGGATAGCCGTCCCCCACTTTGGAGGGTCCTTTGGGAAACCTGCCCCCGGTTTGGGAACCTCGGTCTTGCCAGCGACGTTGTTTCCCTGCTGTTTGCCGTGGGTGCGGGGCATTTCTCCCCGCCCGAGGTAAAGAGGGCAGGGCCTGCGAGGGGACCGGCACTGCCGCGCCCTGGCTGTGTTGGCAGCCCCCAGCCCAGCGTTGGCTCGGC